ACGTATTTGTACCCAGAGTGGTCCCTGTTGTAGATCAGGGCCCGTCGTCTCTTGGGGCGCGTTTCGTAGTCGCGTAGGGATCGTGAGGTGGACACTGCACTGGTGGACGTCGAAGCTCACTTGGATGCCCTCGTAGCTCAGCCGGTGGTCCACGGAGATTTGTCGGTACTCGCAGCTCTGCTGCTGGCCGTCTTAGCTCACCTTGTGGCCTGGGTAGTTCAACTGGTGTCCCACGTAGTTTGATTGGTGTCCCTCGTAGCTCCGCAGGTTGCCCTCGCAGCTCTGGTGGTGGCTCTCGTAACTCTCGTAGCTCAGTTGGTGGCCCTCGTAAGCCACGTAGCTCAGGTGGTTGTCATCGTAGCTCAGCTGGTGGCCCTAGTAGCCCGCAGTTCAGGCGGTGACTCTGGTAGTTGGGCTGGTGGTCCTCTTAACCTTGCTTGAAGCTTTCGTAGCTCGGCTTATGATTCGCGTAGCTCTGCCCGTGGCCACACTTCACCCACTTTGGGCTACGTGCGTTGTGGACAATAGATATCGACACGTCACGCCACCCCCCCACATACGAGCAGCCCGGCTACGTGGAGCTACAGGACGCCAACGGCTACACAACATAATTATCAAAGTCTGGACAGGTTCGGCGCGAGAGCAGCCATCGCACATACCACAACACATCCGCCCACCTCCTACACGTTTCGACCTCATCGCACCTACTCCAGACAACACACATGTGGCCACAAATTATTGAAGGTCTTTCACCAATGCCGATCACACACTTGCACCCAAGCACACATGTAGCCAGTGACTCGCAATACTGACACGCCCAAGTCTACGCCGACCATGCATCCACCACGCCCAGGCGGCACACAATCTACATCTATGCCGCCGGAGTTTCTGAGCACCGAAGACCATCTAAGGATACCCACCGACATGTGACCAGACAACCCGTACTACGAAATGGTTCACGGAGAGCTCGAGCTGCAACGAGGAGCAGACTAATCACAGTGCGACTACGACGGTCGACTTCAATGTTGGGCAACGCAGGGTTCGACGCAGCAATTCGGACCCCAGTGGCCGACGATTCAGACATAGGCAGCGACACAGACAAGAGCGAAGGCAACAGCGCAAAGACCAACAAATCTTCCTCAGGTCGCAACCACCTCATCACAGGCACGACATGCATGCACTGCCCCAACGGATGGACGGCATATAGCGCTAAGCGTATCGAGGACGACGACTACGACGACGACAGATGGCACTATGCCACCTACTACCACGAACAGCCCAACACCTACAGGTAACGATTCCCAATGGACGACATCCTCTTACCAGGCTGGCACCGCTGCCTGGACAACGATACGTCTCCCTCATCCACCATTGAGGCCCAATCCACAGGCGCCTCCACTATCGACCATCAAGCTACCGCCGGCAGGGCCAACCAAACACTTCCAGCTTCAATACGCTACGCCAGCAGAGAACCACCTACCGCCAGGGAAGCCCAGGCCAAGAGATCGCACACAACTGCGATTCGGCAGTGGCATGACAGCCTTCGCAAAACGCTATCGCTCCAACGAGGACTTCAGGTTAGTCGTATCAATTACGGACAGATCCTTCACCACGCTGGTGTCAGATCCTACAGCGACGATGAACGAGCCAACCACGCAGGCGATAATCGTCGTTTCCCAATGGTTCACCTCCATCATGCCACAACTACGACGACTTCATAAGGCACGACTGGCCAGTACGTTTTCACGACACAGCACACTACTACTACACATCTGAAATCCTACTCCTGAGTACAAACGAGACCACGGCAGAGTACACACGCCAACCAACACGACATCCAGCGACGAAGACCACGCATTCACAATGTCAAGGACACTTCAAGCTCGACATGGCATCCACTCGACACCCTCCACGGCCACGCCAATTCCAGCCACTACGACACAACAGCCACATCACCACACACCAACATATTACAACCAACCAGACGACACCGACCCAACACCTCTGCCCGCACCACCGATCAACACCAACACAAGCCAGCAACCACTGATTCGTGTCATCAGAAGCCCAACACACCAACCGCCACCCATCCTTCGAATTCCAAACGCACGCACGCCACCTGAGGACGCTAGGGCACAATCGTGGCTTCACGACGTACCTGTTTCATAACTAGCACCACATCCGTACGACACCAGGCAGGTCTATTTCCCAACCATGGCGCCGCCAAGTAGAGTTGTCAGCCAATCAAGGTCCACTCCACAGGCACTAATCACATATTACCTTGGACGCGTGAGCGCGCACAGCCGCAGCGGCCCGCGCGTTCTGGATTATTGTGTAACCAGTCGGCGTCACCGAGCCCACTACCACCAACACCTATCTTGATGACACCAACGCAATCTCCAACAACGAGGATTTCAGCACCGACAAGCAGTACATACATAAGAGGCGCCGTTGGTATTCAAGGCACCGCCTGTGCTCAAGCCTAAGCCGACTCCGCCTACAAGATATGGACCACACTGTTACGATTATGGTGACTACATATATGCGCATACTTGGGCAGTACGACCACGACTTCTACCCTATCTCCTTCAATCACCGCGGAAGGCCAATGACTGACAACCATCCTTCTCCCCAGTATCACTTAGTATCGGGGGCTCCTTCTGCTGTCGCCATCGTCTTCCCACTTTTTCCCTTATTTCTCACCCTCGTGGTACATGCTACTGTTGCCTGGCCACACCATGCTTTGTGGTCTTGGGAGCACCTATTCTGCCCCAGGGGCCGTGCCCCATTGTCTGATGAGGACTGCAGACGCCCTGTGCTTCCGCCTGCGGAGGCATAGGATATGTGTTCTCTTCTCCCACGGTGGGTTACCTCCCTTGCTCCCCCCACCTCTTTCCCGCTGCTGCTGCTTGCGAGTGGGCCCGAAAGGCGTTCTTATTACTTTTGCACTTGCACAGCCAGTTCTGCATCCAGGGAGGCCGAGGTTAGGATAGAGGAGTGAAGGATGTGGAGGGGGAGCCGCAGTTTCCGCGGCGCCGGGGGACTGGTCGCCTCTCCGCCCCGCCTCCCCTCGCCTTTTCTGCTTCTCCCTGTCTTCGACGCGAGTCCCCCCGCGGTTGCTGCGCTGTCAGCGGTCGGGCAGACTGGCGGCGGAAGTGGCCGCGGATGAAACAGACCGCGTTGCCACCCAGCATTGCCTTTGGCATGTCTGCGGTATGCCATTCGCAGCAGACATGTACCATTGCTCCTTCTCCCCCATTTCGGGACCCCCTGACCGCCTGTGGAGGGTGGGCCTCGCAGGCGCGTTCTTACATCTACCAACGTGCAGTCGGCCAGCCTTCTAGGCCGGCCTCAATTTTACTGCATACTGCACTATCCCTTCCCAGCAATAGCTTTCACTGAAGGCCAGCCTACCAGGCCAGCCTTACCACGTCACTCCTCACGCCCGCAGCTTGCCTCTTGTGTGCGCATCAGCATCCTGATGTGATCTCCTCCCTCACAGTCGGTGGCGAAAGTGGCAACAAGGGTTTCGCTGCCCCCAGGAAGGCCGAAAGAGAACCCCAGCGCCACTCACTGGTTGAGGGCAGGCCAGTACTTTCGACCAACACTTCTTTATGCCATGTCCAGGGTCCCGATGTTACCTCTCCTTGGTCATCCCATTCTTTCCTTTGGGGCCCCCCTGACCCACAGGGCATGGTGGGCCCCCTTTGCGCGTTTTCTCATGTTCAGTTTCGCCTCGGCCTTGTTCTTTCACATATTTCGGCCAGACTCAGTGCTCACAGGCCAGCCTATCTGGCCATCTTTACGGGGATTACAGTGGAGGATCAGACGAGGAGGATGATGCAGCTATACACTCACGTCATCCTCATGAGTTGCAAGTGCACTCTGCGCAGCCAGCGTTGCGTAGCAACCGCAGGCCAGCCATGTTGCATTCGCCAGCCTCTTCCTACTACTTCCTCCTCCTCCTCATTATCGCATACTTGCACGCACTGCTAGTCAGTTTCGCCTCATTCCCATCACATTGAAGCCGATATGTTGCTCTGCCTGCGCAACTATCTCTACTTAGGGGATGACCATTGCAGTTGTTCCTACGACGTTTCATTCCTACGTCACGCAGCTGTAACGCACGCTTGCCTCCAACCTCTCAGCCTACATCCTGTCACTGGCCAGGCAGCGCCGGACCATAGGAAATGCAAGGCACAGAGGCAGTTGCTAGACCAACGCATGTCATGCTTGTGTCGGTTAGTTTTAGTACTTTCAGGCCAGCCGACCAGGCCAGCCTTACAACGATAGCTAATCTGGGTTCGTGCTCAACCCGGAAAGAAGTGACAATGTATGAGGGTCCAGGGACCACAGAGATTTGGGGTGAACCGACGAACCCTGGGTTGCAACTCAAGAACTGCCACAGCGAGCACCTGTTCTCATTTTGCTGTAAGTGTTTTTGCTGCAAGCCTGAATCTACAGATCGGCGAGCGGATTTGGGTCATCGGGATGGGGGTAGACTTCCAGATTATATCAGACGCTGCAGAATTCGCCCTGGCCTCCGACCGTTTTAGTCGCCTTGCATGCGTATGTCGTCCTTCTCCGTTCGGTTTCTTCGTCGCTATTGTTACTGAGGTTATCGATCGCTCGGTATCTCTCCCCTCGCACCCTCGCACCGCCTCGTCAGCGCAAGCTCTGCGCCCCTCGGGGTTCTATGGTTTTTTTTTCTGCCCGCCCCTCTTAGGTTCCTGCCGCGCCAGCCAGGCGTAAGCTGCTGTTTGTCATTGGCCTAAGTCTGCCCTTTTTAAACTACCATTTCAGAACGCTGCGTGCTTGAGCATGAAGTCCGAGCAACGTCGAAAAAAGGACAGGAGGGGGATGAGCTCAGGGAAGGAGGGAAGGGGGAGAGGCAGAGGCCCTCTCCCCGTTTCTCCCACTGCACCCCCTTCCCCGCCCCCTCGAGCAGCCCTCTTGCCCTCCCCCCGGCCCCTTCCCTGGCTGACCTCCTGGCCGCCCAGGGGCGAGCTCGAGGGCCAGAGGCGGCACCTCCAGGAGGGCCTGTCGGAGCTGGGGCGGTGGACCGCGGAGGCCGTCCGGGATGCGGTGCTGCGCGAGGCCGCCGTCCCGCCCCCCTGAGTCGGAGCCGAGTCAACCGGCATAGGAAGGGCTCGGGAGCAATGAGACATGGGGCGAGATACGATCCCCGGGCAAGCGATCGGGGCCCCTTGGGCTTGGGGCGGCCAGTAGTTTTCGTTCTCTTTCCCGCTCCTGGATGCTTTCCAGCAGCTGCGCCTCGTCGAGCGCTTTGGGGGGGTGCCTGGATCGCCCCGAACGGCCGCCAGAGGCCTGAGTTATGGCCCGAAGTTGTTTCAAGGCGTCCGAACATGTACAGTCAACCCGCATCAGAAGGATGGGCGACTTTCCAAGGCTGCGCTTGCATCCCTCCCCTTCGGCCCATCCTTGGCCGCTTTCGCTGGCCGCGCCCCGCGCACAGTGTCGCATGGCCTTCCAAGGCTCTTGCATCCTCATCCTGCGCCCTGGTTAAGGTTATACGGGTTGACTGCAGGAGCAGCAGCAGGGCCCGTGGGCGAAAGACATGGCCACATCCGCGGCCTCGCGGGCCGGGCCCTCTCGCCGCGCCCCCCCAGGATGCGGGCGTTTTTGTCGCGGATGCCCTGCGCTGGGCGCATCCGCGCGTATCCGCGGAGCTGCGCCCTGGAATCCAGACCGCGAGGGCATGGATATGGATACGCTCGCCGTTCGTAGCTGGCAGGGGGGGCGATGGTCAGGAGGAGGAGGAGGAGGAGGAGGGGAAGGAGGAGGAGGGCCGGGAGGATGAGGATTATGGATGGCGAGGCTTGGTACGAGCGGTACGGCAAGAATGGGGGGGGGGAGATCGACAGCAGTCCCTGCCCACTTTGAACAGGACTCGTTGTCTGTGCTGCCCCTCACGGTGTCCGATCGCGACAGAAGGTCCAATAGTTGCAGTACCCTTTTCGGGCGCGCGAAGAGGATCGGAAAGGAGATGGAGATTTGAAGGGGGTGGAGGAGGCGGCGCAGAAGTTACACAAGAGGGAGGAGGAGCTGGAGCAGGAGGGGGCCCAGGATGAACAGGGTCAGGCCCAGAAGTCGAAGGATTATGATGACGTTGATGCTGCTGATGCGGATCGTGGTGATGATGGTTATTTCAGCGATGCCGACTATGGTGATGGTGGTGATGGTGATCAGACTGATGTTGGCGATGGTGATGATGATGACGATGGTCGTCGTGGTGATGGTGATGCTGATGATGATGACGACGGCGATGCTGATGATGATGGTGGTGATGATTATGAGGATGATGCGGATGATGATGAGGATGATGCGGGTGCAGAGGAGCATTGTGGTTGTGATGATGGTGATAGTGACGATGCCGCTGGCGATGATGATGACGGCGATGAATATAAGTATGTTGCCAGCCACGGTGATGGTGATGATGATGTTGATCATTGTGCTGACTTTGTTGTTGATGGCGATGATTATGATCATGATGATTGTCCAGACGTTTACGATGATTGCAGTGGTGGTCATGATGATGATGGTGGTGGTGATGCTGATATCGGTGATGATTGTGGCCATGACGATGATGATGCTGATTGCGATAGCGGAGATGATGAGGATAGAGATGGTGATGGTGGTAATTTTGAAGAGGATGATGATGCCAGCTGTGGTGGTGATGATGTTGTTGCTGCTCATGGTGATGGTTATTGTGATTGTGATGATAAGCTAGTGGTGATGAGGATGATGCTGCTGATGATGGTGCTGATAGGTGTAGTGCTGCGTGTAGGGGGGGGGGGATTTTGTTTTGTTTGCGGCTGTGGGCCTCGCGACTGCAAGTCGATCTGGTGTGATCGCCCCGCCTGCAGAGAGGTGCCCCGACACAGTTCTTCGAATGCTTGGCCACGGTGGCCATCCGGGCCTGGAGGTGGGGCGTGTGCTTTGGTGGCGTTGCCGAGATGTGGGGGGGGCGGGGGACGGGGGAAGGAGGTTGGATGGGGATAGGAACGAGAGGGAAGGGGGAAGATGGTGGGAGAAAAGAGAATGAGGCGAGTGAGGATGTGTGCGGGGCGGAAGGGGGCAGGAAGGGGAGGGCGAGGAGGAAGAGGGGGATAGGGAGCTCGCTCGCTCTCCCGCATTCAGGCATGTCAACTCGATTACTCTCTCTGTGCAACGGGGGGGATACAACTTATTATATGTACCCCTTGTTACTTTCTAGCTCTGAGGAGCCACACGCGAAGGCAGGTGCAGCGGCTTGCTGTCTCCACGGGGGCCTGGCCGTTGAACACGACAATCAGAGCACGCAAACTTCGAAGTAAGGGTCAGCTCGTTGAGAGTGGAACCCGCGCACTAAATCCCACACATTACCTGACACTCGGATCTCGAAGTCCTCGGATTGGCAGGCTACGTGCAGGCGTGAGCAGGAGGGTTGCACTCTGTAGCGCAGTGAGGCCAGCTCGAAAAGAGTGGAACGCACGCGCTAGCTACCGCCAATTCCCTCAGACTCGGGCCCTGTAGGCATCCGATTGGCAGGCTACATGCATGCGAGAGCATGAGGGTGGCACTCAGAAACACCGTGAGGCCTGGTGCATCTCTCTTACCTTGCAACTCAAGGAAGTTGGAGCAACAAGAGGGAACGGCAGCGGCCTGGAGGTAGAAGTGCAGGAGCATGTGGCCATACCTAAGAATGGAAAGGTGAAACTGACTCGCTCACAACACTTCGGTATTGTTTTCGATTTCCTCGCCATGTTGCCCCTCGGGGCCCTGTTGGAAGGTTGCACGTATCAGCTCGCCCACAGTAGTTTCAGCTCCCTGCACTTGACCCTTGAGCGTGTAGTACGTCGTCGGCATCTCCAGAGGTGTGAGCTTATGCTGAGGATTTCCTGGTTGGATTTGAGCGTCCAGCTTTTCCTTGGTTGCAGTCGTCGGGCGCCAGCGTTGCTCTGTGCAAGCTGACCAGAAGGCGCGACTTCTGGAGATTGTTCGGCTGGTCGCATGTCGGGGGCACTGCAGATTCTCGAACCCAGCTGCCTGCTACGTCTGGTTCTGCTTTTTCCACCATTGCCATCAGCCTCAAGACGACGAGCCTCAGCTTCTGCACCCTCGCCGAAGCGTCCTTGTACTGCCAGTTCTTTAAGACGTGACCGTGCCGGTTCCCTGCGTCGGCCTTCTCATGGCTCCCCAGCCTCTCCAGGCTTGCGCGGTGGCATACGCGTGACCACGCAACGTCACGCGTCACGCTCGCAGGCTCGGGGCGCGCTCCTGCTCGCTCCAGTCCCGCTGCGCCCGTGCTGAAACAAAACAGGCGCCGTGTACAAAATGTCCCGGTCAAACTCGCGGCGTGTTGGTTCAGCAAGTGTTGACCAACGTCTCGGCGGACGTAGCGCGCCAGACCTAAGTTCTCATTTTGTGTGTTGAGCTCCGTGGCCACACGCACTCCAGGTGGCGTGCTGCGTGCCGGGGCAGCTAGGCTCCAGTTGCTGCCAGGTCGATCATGCTGCCCGGCATGCTGTTTTGTTTGTTCGCCGTCGCCACTTTCTCACCTTCGCCGACCATGATGTTCGCTGAGTCGCCAGCCTCTTGAGGGACCTGCTCTGGCTGTTGCTGCACGAGGGTTGGGGATCACCAGCACATCGACGGCTCCGTCGTAGTCTGCCTACGATCAGGGAAGGTTGTTCAGCGTGTCGCGCCGCCTGTTCTCACCCTCTACGTTTTGGTGCGACACGCTAACCACGCCCCGGTGCCCAGGTGTCAACGTCCCGAGCTTCTCCTAGCCTCCCGCCCCGCAAAACGGAGCGACGCACTCCACGTGAAGGGCAGACCGTGTTGTTGGGGCTGCCGCCGCTTCACGCTGAGCACAGTTCCTCGCCGTAGCGGCGCCAGCACCCACTGTTTGACCTTGGCCGCGCCGAAGCGCTGATACGACGTGGCCGTGCGCTCTGGGCGGAGGGTCTGCGGGGTCCTTTTTCGGGACCTTTTTGGGGCCCTTTTTGGGCGCACTTGGGGTCATGTTGGGACCCTTTTGGGCTCTTTTCAGGGGCAGCACCGGGGAGGGATAGAGGATAGACTCCAGGGAGGATGCGTCGACCCCCGATCGCCCAGTGGTTGCCGATGGGAGCCCGATGGTACACTCCGCCCGGGAACGTGCGGGTTCGCTGTATGTGGCCTATCGCCGATCTATCGGCGATGTGTCGCGGATTCCCGCTACATGTTCTACCCCTGAGCCGGCCCCCCTGACGTTCCCCCTCAAGGGGGTCCTCTCGGGACCTTTTTGGGGCCCTTTGGGGCCGTCTTAAGGCACTCCACGGGCAATCCCAGCACGATTCTCTCGGCGGCGGGCGAGGGGGGGGAAGCGAGAAGGAGAGGGGCTTCTCAGCATGCAGCGGGGGGTTCTTAGAAGCCCTCCGGCCTTTTGAGAAGTTGTTTGTGTCCACGGGGGAGGCTGAGACAATTTTCAGAAGGCCATCGGACTTCGAGCCTTCTGAGAAGGCCCGCCCCTTCTCATTTCCCCCCGGGCCCGCCGCCTAGTCTCTGGCCAAACGCCCAAACTCGCGCGGATGGAGCGCTGGCCTTGTGGCATCTCCAGACAGCGCCGCCGCCCGCACCCCTGCGTGCAGGCGGGCCCTCTCTTCTGCGGCCTGGCCGCCTCCCACGCGCCCGCGCGCGGCTCTGAAGTGCACGTACCAGGCAGGCGTGCGATCAGGAATTGTGGCTTGACGTGTCGTGCCGCCGGTTGTATCGTTAGGGTCAGGATCAGCAACACGATCGCGTTGCCAGCACGAGTGGCAATGGAACGAATGACGTGGGATTGACAAGTAGTTTTTCAAGAGCGAGGCTTTGTATCGACGCCCGTGGGATCTCAATACGGTCAGGAACGTTTGCTTCACGTGTCGTGCCGCCGGTTCTGGCCCTCCGTGCCGCGGCGCGACTTGCTATCCACGCGGCGGTGCCCAGGCGGCAGCGCCTCGAGCCTTTTTCCAGCCTCCCGCCCCGAGAAGCAGAGCGATACCGCTATCAATCCGGAGGACATCCCGTGTCGCCAGGGTCGCAGCCGTGGCTCACTGAGTGCGGAAGCTGGGTGGTCAGAGAAGACGAGACGTCAAAGACATGACTTGTCGTAGTTTCGCGTGGATTTCTTGGATCTGTTCTGAACTCCGGATCCCCTTGGCGGCGTCTCTGGCGCCGGCCTTGGAGCGCTCAGGGAGGTGGCTCCAGCGTCGATCTTTGAAATCCCTGCGGACATTTGACAATGTGTGTTCACGTAGTTGTTTTTTCCTCTAGGCAGAGACAGAGGAGGGGATGGATGAGGCTGAGGAGGGGAAGGGGAGGGCGACAAGAGGGAATCAGAAGAGGAAGAGTTACTTACCGATGCTGCTACCATTTCCTTGTCGCACTGCCTGGGTTCGCCTTGAAATTCTGGCCAGAACGCACCCCAGGAGAGGTCCGTGGGGAAGGACGCATAGCATGGGAGAACGATAAAGCGGAGTGGGACACGGGGAGGGGAAGGAGGAGGGAGAGGGAGCACGGATATGTGTCCCTAAGCGGCGCCATGCCTACACACAATGGATGGCTGCTCTCAACGACACGTTGACTCTCCCGCGAGGTCATGGAGGACGACCCCGACGGAGACGACATCGATGGGCGCAGTGGAGATGGCGCCCGAGACGACGGCATGGGAATATCAACACCATTTACATGAAGGCAAGGCGTCACAATGCAACGGTTACCGCTTCGGGTGCCCCCCCCCCCAGAGTCCTGTGTTTGCTCGGTGGCATTTGCCATGGTTTTCAACGTGTTGCCCGAAGCGCACACGCCCTGATGAATATAATTTAATTTCGCGTGCGCAGTTTGCGACAGCGGTCAGCCGTCGCCATTCGTCGAAGAGTTACGCAGTCCCAAGGTAAGAACCCTTTTGGCTCGTAACTCCTTGTGCTGCTTGACTTGGTTGCCAAGCAACTGCTTAAATAGACTACTTTCCGCGCTCCCGCACGTCGTCCAATTCGGTGAGTCGCTTTCTGAATGAGCCCGCTGGCGAAACGCAATGACATCACCGTCGTATCACCACGGACAGAAGCGGCAACACGATCGTGTCGCCAGCACGGATATCAATGGAACGGATGACGTTGGATTGACAAGTAGCCTTTCAATACTGAGGGTTTGTATCGACGTCTTTGGGATCTCGATACAGTCAGGAACGTTTGCTTAGCGCGCCGCTCCAGAGGTTCTGCCCCACCACGCTTCGGTGTGACTTGATATCGACGTGGCGTCCCCCAGGCATCGACGCCCCGAGCCTGTTACTAACCTCCCGCTCCGAGAGGCAGAGCGATACGCTATCATCTCGAAGGGCATAGCGTGTCGCCTGTGCCGCCGTCGCGACACACGGAGCAAAACTTCCAGACCGTAATCAGACGGCGAGTGCGAGCACGACGATCAACAGCAGCATGTCCACAATCGTCGAGAATCGAATCAGGGTGTCCCTGCAACCACTCACTTCTGCTCTCAGTGCTTGTCGCAACGTCCTTCGACCCACCCCAATGGGTCGCTGTCCAGAGGCCAGGCCAGAGTCGGGTTGAGACCACCCCCCTTCCCCTACTCCTTCTCTCCTCCTCCCCCTCCTCCTCCCCCTTCCCCTCCTTTCCTCCTCCTCCTCCTCCTCTTCCGCTTCCTCCTCCTCCTGCCTTGTTCCCCCCTCATTCCCCGTATCCTCCGTCTCCTCCTGTCGGCAGCATGACCAGGAGGATATGCAGACGGCGGGTTTTCTCAGAAGGCTCAGGAGCCTCCAGCCATCTGAGAAGCTTCCGGAGCCTGCTCCACAAGGGCCACAGAGTAGTCCTCAGAAGGACCGAGGGCTTGTGAGAAGCCCCGCCGCCTTCTGAGAAGGCCTGCCCGCTCTCACTCTCCCCCTCGGCGCGCCGCACATCCTGTCCCCCCGAGATTGCTGCCAGGACCCCGGGAGTGTGGGCACCCGGGCCCCGTCTCTGAGAGCCTGAGGCAGCCTTGGTGCGCACCCAGTGCGCCCCTTTCTGCCGCTCGTCGTTTCGCATCGCTGAGCGCCATTCCCACCGGCGTTTTGTCGATTACGGCCTCTGTGGACCGTTTTCGGGCCCGGGGGCCACCAAGCATGAATCCGGGACATCATCTCCCTCCTAGGAAGCGGTTGGGACCTCGCTGGGGCCGCGGCTTGGAACAACTCAGACCTGCGGGTGTTAGGGACTTCCTCCTCCTCTCGCTTTCCCGAGAGGGGCTCCTTCTCCCAAACGTCCTCCTCCTGTTCCTCCTTTTCCCCCTCGAAGCCTGTCCGTGGACATCTTGGCTCGAGCTTCTCGCGTGCGTCCCTGGCGCCGGGAGCCTGGTGCTGCAGCCGAAGGGGGCGGCTCGAGGCCTCCGTGGTTTCAGTTTCAGTTTTCGCCGCACAGCGCGGCATTTGTGAGCTCCTGCTCGTCGTCGTCGTCGTCGTTCCCCTCCTTCTCGCCTCCTCTTCCTCCTCCTCCTCCTCCTCCTCGACATCATCCTCCTCCTCGCCTCGTCGTCCTCCTGCCCACTACTTCGTTGATGATTGCCAGACGCCACAGCAGGAGAGGCCGCATTTCAGGGCCATGGATCCGTGCAGCATTCCTTTGCCATTCCATGGCCATTTGAGGTCTCTTTGTTGCGCTGAGACCTTGCCAGGGGATGGAGGCCGGGCTGGTGAGGCTGCTCCACGACGTGGGGCAGGCGCTGACCACCGCCTTCGTCGTCCGGGCCTCGGTGGCCGACTGCCCGGACTGCTGGTGCAGTCCGGCCTTGCACTGCCCGGCGCTGCAGTGCACGTGCCCCAGCGGCGAGGGCACCCTGGCGGCCGTCGCCACCCCGGGGTGCCCCGGGGCCCAGCTGGCCTGGGTGGCTGGCCTCTCGCTCCTCCTGGGCGCCGTGCTCGGGGCCGCAGCCGTCTCGTGGGCCTTGCGGCCTCGCCCGAGAGCGCTTGCAGCGCCCGCCGCGGCGCCCGTGGAGGTGGACAGTGCGCCGGCGGGCGGCGACCTCGCGCACCTCGCGCTGGAGCAGGCCAAGGCCTTCCGCAGGACGCCGGGTGTCGCCGTCCATTGAAGATGGCTGCTGGGCCGCTGGCTGGAGGTTTCCACCTGACCAGGTATCGAGTGGGAGGCCCCGCTCTGTACCATGAGCGACTGGACATATTTCGTTCGGGGTACGTGATGACCCCGGACTTCGACGACTACGGCGAGACCACGAATCCAGACGCGGACGTGATGGAGGTCCACTTCGTGCACGGGCAGGGCGGCAGGGCTGGAGGCATCCCAGAGAACCGGGTCTACAGGTTCCGCCGCCTGCCCACGGCGGCCGAGATCTGGAGCGCCCTCCGCCGCGGGGCAGCGCTGGGGTACGGGCCGCTGCCCGACGGGCCCTTCCTCCTCACGCTGTCCGCGGTGAACTGTGCAGGCGCGCCGGCGGGCAGCATGCCGCTGGCGGACCCGTCGATCGTGGTCCCCCCGCTGGTCGGCGTGGCCGGAGCGTGCCCCGCGGCAGCGGCCCCGGGCGAGCTGGCGCTTCCTGGGGCGGCCCCGCCAGCCCCACCGGCGGCCGCGGCCGCGCCGGCGCCGGCAGCCGCGGCCCCAGCCGTCGTGGCCCCCGCCCCCGGGGCGGCCGCTGCTCCAGCGGGTCGGGCGCCGGCGGTGCCAGACACCGTGGCGGTTGCGCCGCAGCCGAGCGGGGAGCCCGCACCAGGCTGGCACTGGGTGGCCGCCGAGGACGTCGACGGCGCCGTGTCGTTCGGCACGAGGGTGGCCGTCGGGGTGCCGGGCGGAGCGACCCTCGTGGGCCGCGCGGGGCGCCGCGGGCTTCTCACGCTCGCCGGCGGCGCCGGAGCCAGCGCGGTGCTGCTGCAGGACAGCGAGATCCCGTGGTTCATGCAGGAGTACCGCGGGAGCGACGCGCGCACGCTCGAGATCCCGCCGGGAGCCGGGCAACCAGGCGGCAGCTCTCGGGAGTGGCGCGAGGTGGTGCAGCTCTGCCGCGAGGAAGCCGTCCCGGGGTTCGCCGTCGCCCCGCCGAGGACGGCGCAGTGGTGTGCCAAGTACCAGGTGAAGGAGGGGGGCCCGGTCCTCCATCATGAGATGTGGAAGTCAAAGCGCAAGCTGAACCCGACCGACTTCGGGGTGGACATGCACGAGACACTCTCCAAGATGATCGAGGCCATGGGCTCGGCCGATCACCTGGACGTCTACAACTTGGCGAGCGCGGAGCTCGGCTACAGGAAGCTCCAGCTCATCGAGCACTACTGGGACGACAGGAGCGCGGAGCAGCAGCAGCACAACATGCGGATGCCCCTGGAGGAGGCATTCGCGTTCATGGGAGGCTCGAGGTCTCCCTCGATGGTGTGCCCCGAGCTGCTCGATTCGGTGTCGAAGGAGCTGGAGCGGATCCACAGCATCAAGAAGAACGCGAGGAAGCTGAGGGGGGAGCAGAAGGCCAACAAGGGCGGCCGGGACGCTCCTCCCCCGAAGTCACGATGCTGGGCCCGCCCCCGGGACTGCCTCGACCCGGGGGTGATGCAGAAGAGGTGGTGGGCGGAGGTGACGACCACATGCAGCGGTCGCTCCTGCCCTTGCCAGTCCCTGACTGGTGTCGCGCGCAGGCTGCCCCCGGCGGCAGCGGCGGTCGCGCAGCGCGGCGTCGCCGCGCCAACGGGACGCTGCAGGGTGAGCTCGTGGCCGAGCTAGTAGTGGCGCTCAACCAGCTGGATGCCGGCTCTGATGACCCGCCGCGCCGTGCTGGCCAGGAGCCCAACAGGATGCAGCAACTTTGCCTGGAGCATCTCGCCGAAAGCTGTGCGGCGATGGGCTCCATTCCTCCAGACTTGTCGACCGAGGTGGCCCTCCAGGAGCTCCAGGTTGGCGCCGGCTACTCCGACGGCGAGCCCGTCACGGTGGCCCCCTTCGCGCACGACCTCGTGTCTCTGCCAGCTGTGGGCGGTACGCCTGTGCCCCTGAGTCAGCTGTTGGGAGCCGACGGTCCAGACATCGTGCGAAGGTTCATCACTTCGAAGGTTTTGCCAATTCAAAGCGCCGAGATTTTTAAGGAGGAGGCTGGCTTCGCGCGCCCTTACCTGGATCCAGTGCTGCGGCAGCCCGCGGCCTACCTGTCCTTCGTCGAGAGGATGAGGGACGGGGGCATGCTGGAGTTCAGGGTCGATGAGGGCAATTTTGAGGAAGTCGGTCTATTCACCGTTTGGAAGAAGGATGGTCGCCAGCGCCTGGTGATTGATTGCAGGGGCAGCAACTTCGGGTTCGCGGAGCCCGACAAGACCAGCCTGGCGTCGGGGGGCAGCTTCAGCTCCATCGAGCTGGCGCCGGGCGAGGTGCTGTGGACGGCGGGAGTCGACATAGCGGACGCCTTCTACAACATGGGCCTGCCGCCGGAGCTCCGGCACCTCTTCGCGCTCCCGCGGCTTCGGGCAGCGCAGCTCGGAGTACGTGAGCTGGGCGGGCGCCCAGTTCCAGGCCGCGCTTGGGCGCGCCCGTGCTTGGCCGTCTTGCCCATGGGCTGGACGCATGCGCTAGACTTTTGCCAGAAAGTGCACAGAAATATCTTACTCCAGAAGGGAGGTTTTGAGAACGTTCCCGAAGTGGTCGATGGTATGCCGACGCCTCCCATCCAGGACGGGGCCTACACAGCCTATGTTGACAATTTCATTTCCTTTGGTGTGGATCCTGACAGGCCTGCGGCCCTCCTGAGGTCGGCCCAAGAGGCCTTGAGCAGCGCGGGGCTCCCTCTTCACGATCCTGATCTTCCCGCCTCTGTGTCTGAGCAGCTGGGTTGGGTCTTCGACGGTGAGCGGGGAGCTGCGAGGCCGAAGAGTCGTCGTGCTTGGAGGCTTCGTCTTGGGATCCAGGGTTTGCTTGCTCGTGGGCGCGCTTCGGGACGACAAGTAGGGAGGGTTGCTGGCCACTTCGCGTTCATTGCTATGTCGAGGCGCCCGCTCTTGGCCGTATTTAGTTATGTGTATGCCTTCTCGAGGAAGTACTTCGATCGGGTGATGAAGCTGCCGCCGTCTGTCCGCCGTGAGCTTCGTTGGGCCGCCTCCCTGATCCCCCTCGCCTGGGCTGATCTCTGGGCCACCTGGTCTCCCAGGGTCTACGCGAGCGACGCTAGCGAGGAGGGGAGGGGCGTGTGCCAGAAGGAGGCCGACCTGGGAGCCATTCGTGGTGCTGGGAGGTACGGGGAGAGGTGGCGATTTCGACGAGCAACTGCTTCGCGACCTCGCGACTGCCTCTTCGAGCAGAGCGACCCGCCGACCGCCGACACCGCGAAGGTCGAGCCGATCGCCGATTTCGTCGTGTCGCCGGAGGTGGAGCACGTCGTGTCGCCGGAGGAGGCGGTGGAGGATCCTGAGGGTAACTTGTGGAAGGTCCCGGAGGTGGAGGAAAAACTGTACGGGGGGAGGTGGCAGGTCGTGTCGAGCGGAGGGTGGGCCCGGTCCGAGAAGATCATCGTCCTCGAAGGTCGGGCGCTCGTTCACTCTCTTAGGCACGCACTTCGCGACTCGAAGTCTTTCGGTAAGCGTATCCTCTTCCTTTGCGATAACATGGGGCTCGTGTGTGCTATGGAGAAGGGCCGCTCCTCAGCCGGGGGAGTCCTCCGCGTCGCCCGGCAATGGGCCGCCTGGTGCCTGGCGGGCGCGGTGCAGGCCTCGGTGCGCTGGATTCCGTCTGAGCGGAACGTCGCCGATGCGCCGTCGCGCCGCCGCATCCCCCTCGGGGTTTGGCTCGACAGCGGCACGGCGGACACTGCCGAGGGCATCGAGCAGTGGGCCGTCCGGGACGCCGGGCGCAGCAGCCAGCAGGCCGACTGCCGCAGCGCCGGCCTCGAGCTCGCCGAGCTGGCCGTCCGCGAGCCTGCCGTCGGCGTTCTTCGGGGCGCCCGCCGGCCCGCGCGCCCTGCGGCGAGGCGGTCCGCTGGCGGGGCGGCCTCAGCCTCGGAGGGGGCGGCACCTGAGTGCAGTCGCGGCCCAGTCGCGCCAGGAGCAGCAGACGCCGCCACCACCCGCGGCCCGGAGCCGCAAGATGGCGCGAGCTGCGAGGCGCGGGCAGGGAGCTACGGCTGCTGCTCGTCGGGCGGCGCTCCGAGGCCTTGGATCGCTGCTGCAGCGGGCGTCGGTGACTCCGAAGACCGTGGCCCAGTACGACGCGCTGTGGCAGGACATCCTTCGCATGTGGCTGCGGTTGCGTCCGGTGGGCTCCCTGCAGGCGGAGCCGGGCGACGACGAGACGGACTTCGTGGTCGCCAGCTGGATGGACCAGGAGTACACGTTCGGGGAGCTGGCGCAGAGGGGCACCAAGGGGCTAGCGGCGGTGAAGTACTTCCGGCCGCAGTTCGCAAAGTCGGGAGGGCTCTCCCTTCCGCGCTCGGCGCAGGCCTTGAAAGGCTGGAAGCGGCTCGCCCCTGGGCGGGCGCGGCTGCCGCTGCCGTGGGAGGTCGTCGCGCTGATCGCGCTGGAGCTGCTGCTGACCGGCTACTGGGCGATGGCGGCGTGGACGATCATCACCTTCCACTGCTACCTGCGCCCCAGCGAGCTGCAGCGGGTTACCGCCGAGATGCTCGCGCCGCCTGTGCCAGGGACCCACGTGGGGAACTGGGCGATCGTGCTGCACCCGAGCGAGGAGGAGATCAGCAGCAAGACAAGGGAGTTCGACGAGACCGTGGTGTTCGATCTGCCGCTGTTCCGCTTCCTTGTGCCCGTGCTCGCCTACCTCAAGAGGGAGACGCCGGCCAGGCAGCCGCTGTTCGCATTCAGGCACGCCGACCAGGTGGTCCAGTTTCGGGAGGCGGCCGGGCGCGCAGGGGTCCAGGCTCTGGGCCCGGAGCTGTATATGCTGAGACACAGCGGGCCCAGCCACGATCGAGCGCGCCAGCTGCGGACGCTGCAGGAGATCAAGCTGAGAGGTCGCTGGCACTGCGACACCAGCGTGAGGCGCTGCCAGAAGGAGGGGCGCGTGGGCGAGCAGCTGCAGCGGCTGTCCCCAGGCGTCCGCGCGAGGGCGGTCGAGGCGGCGGCGCAGCTGCCGACTTGCCTCGCGAGGCCTTCGCTCGCGCCTTGGCCAGCCGGGGTGCCCGCCTGGTCCAGCCGCAGGTCTTTCTAGAGCTGTTCAGCGGGCATGGCGGGCTCTCGCGGGCGCTTCGCGAGAGGGGCTTCGTCGTGCTCGAGTGGGACATCTGCCGTGGGCCTGCCTGGGACCTTCAGCGCGGAAGGCCCAGAAGCTCGTGAGAGGCTGGATCCTGGCCGGACAGGTCTGGGGAGTCTTCATGGGGACGCCTTGCCAGACGTGGACGAGGGCCAGGGACACAGGGCCGCTGCGAGAGCTGGGTCAGGCTGGACCAATGCTCCCGTCGCGGCTCCGATCTGACCAGCATCTGATGGGGCTTCCTGAGGTCACCCATCCTGCCGATGTGCAAGCCATTCGAATTGGTAATATTCTTGCCGGTTTCTGTTGCAGTATTTTTGAGTTGATGCGCTTGCTCCAGCGCCCAGTGGCGCTGGAGAACCCTGCGCGTTCACGTCTCTGGCTGCTGCCTCGTCTCAAAAAAGCTGCCGCATGGTGTTCTAGCCAGCTCGTGTATACGGACATGTGCCAATGGGGGGCGCCGTGGAAGAAGCCGACCAGAATTTTAGGGGATCGCGTCTCTCTGCAGTCCGTCGCTCGCGAGTGCCGTGGCAAGCTTTGCTCTCGCACGGACAAAAAGCACACATCAATTCATGGCCTCGCCCAAGGAGGCGGCTTTAAAACAAAAGCCGCTCAGCAGTATCCTCCTGCTTTGTGCAAGGCCCTTGCTCGTTGCTTCGATCGCGCTCATGGCAGTTCTAAGACGATTGCATTGTCCAGTCTTTTTGTTTAACGGTGAATAGTTCAGTAGATTATCGAGATGACCAAGGATTGTTTGGCAGGTTTGCGTTAATTTGTACCCTCGTCTCAGTGCTGTGCAGCTGGTCGTCTGGCTCGCCTCCGCCCGCTGCCCAATCATCTGTGCCGGTGCACCTTCTCTGAAGCTTGCTCGGGCGCCCTGCGCCCCGATAAAAGGCGCCCTCTGGCCTCGGCAGCGGCGGCGGGAGGCATGCCCACTACTTCGTTGATGATTGCCAGACGCCACAGCAGGAGAGGCCGCATTTCAGGGCCATGGATCCGTGCAGCATTCCTTTGCCATTCCATGGCCATTTGAGGTCTCTTTGTTGCGCTCCCAGCCCTCCCTCCCTCGCGCGTTAATTTGTACCCTCGTCTCAGTGCTGTGCAGCTGGTCGTCTGGCTCGCCTCCGCCCGCTGCCCAATCATCTGTGCCGGTGCACCTTCTCTGAAGCTTGCTCGGGCGCCCTGCGCCCCGATAAAAGGCGTCCTCTGGCCTCGGCAGCGGCGGCGGGAGGCATCCTCCTCCTCCTCCCCCTGCTCGCCCTCCTCCTCCTCCTCCTCCTCCTCCTCCTCCTCCTCCTCTGTCTCCTGCTCCTCTGACTCGTCGTCGTCGTCGTCGTCCTCCTCCTCCTCCAGAGATTTCTTCCATCATGGCTCTCTCGGCAACATGTCGGGATCCCGCTGTCTGCCGTGTGTGCAGCAGCGCTGGCGGCCACACCATGAAAAGGATGTGAATCTTCTTTCCCGTCGCCGCGATTCTCACGCAGTGGCAGCGGGATGCGCAGCGCAGTGTGGCAGAGCTTCTGTGCAGTGTTCGTGGCGGCTGAGGTTGAGCATGGGTAATTAGCTGGTTCAGCGCCGCCCGCAGCGACGCCCGAAGTTTCCGCGGCGCTGTAATTTTTTGGTTGGCGAGCGCATGGGCCGAAGGTGTAGTTAGATGCGAGCTTGCGCGACTTGCGGTTTGTCTCAGTCGCGCAGCTCTCGGCGTTATATGTTGCCGCGATGTTCACAGCCACTTACAGCGAGTTTTAGGTGTCATAGACTCGGTAATCACGCGGCTCGCGTAGGAGTCCGATTCAGGATCGATACCCCAGCAGCCCGCGCCGGGCACCCCCGCGCCCGATTCCGAAGAGGCGCCGCCCGCAGGGCCCTGGAGCCAACGCTAGATTTATCAATGGAGGCAGGCATTCCTGGCCCGAGAACATTTCGCAAAACCGAGCGCGGAGGCCGCGGCGGGGAAGCCTGTTGCCATGAAGCTGGCGTCGGACATCTCGTGCTCCTTGGCTTCGTCCATGGACTTCTCCTCTGGGTGTCGCGCGTTTCCAACTGGTCCTCTCTGTCGCCCCGTTTTGCGCGTCTGTCGCCGCTCTTTTTTTGGGCGGGCGGCTGGAGTCACTTCGAAGTTATGTGTTGTCCGTCCTTGTTTTTTGGGGGGCCATGGGCTGCGTCGTTTTTTAATGTCAACCTTATCCAGTTCTATTTCCCCCCTCGCTCCATGGAGCGGGTCGCCCACCTGCGGGGCGATTGCCGCGGGAAGGCTGCAGCCGCCGGCGCAAGCAGTTCTCCGCTGTCTTCGCGGTGAAGATCAGGAACGGGAGTTTCTCGGCGACGCCCGCGGGCTCGGCCGCCCCGCGCTCGGGCGGGGCGCCTTCCGGCGCTCGCCCCTTCGCTCGACAGTTCGCTGCCGTGTTCGCGTTTGGGTCCAGGACGTTTTCCCTTTCTTTATTTTCTTGTCTGGGCGCTGGGGCGAACTTGACCTGAGGGCCATCCGTTCGGGTTTTTGGGCGGGGGCTGTTCTTTGCCCTTCGTTCTCGGCGCGTGATTATCTGTGACGGCGTCCCCGTCTGAGTTCGGAGGGGGCGCCCCTGCTCCGTCTCGGCCCTCTTCCCTTCGCCATTCCTCTCTACCATCTCCCGCTTGCGGCGGCGCTGCGGGGGGGGGGGGGGCGGCCTTGCGACGTCTGCGCCCGAGCGGCAGGCGCGAGGGCGCGCGCGCCCCTCGTGTCAGCGCCGCGGGGAACGATTGCAAACGCTTGTCCTTTTCTGTTTTTCTTACCGCGGCGCTCCTTTCATGAGTCACGGCAGGGCTCGCGCTCGAAAACCCGGCAGGGGTCCTTGCCGCTTTCGTAGGCGAGCCAGGGCCCGTCGCTGGCAAGTTTCTGCCGAGGAGGGGGAGGAGGGCCCATGGGCCATTCCGCCCCCCGCGCATGGCCCGCGCCCCGCTGCGCCGACAACGGAGCACCCGCCCGACGACGAGAATCTCTCCGCGGCCTTTGGCCCCCCCGCCTGGGAGAAAATGCTGTCGGCCGCTGGTGCTCAGCATCTGTCTTCACCAGTGCGACTCTGGACTGGGAGGAGAGAGACAGGTTGCCCCCCCCAACCACGCGGGCTCGAGTTCTATGGGGGACGGACCGATCTCCGCTTTGGCAGCGGAGCCGCCCGCGGGAGGCGCGCGCGCGCGGGCGGCGCGGCCCCGCCTCGCCAGGCCGGCGCAGCCCACGATAGCCATGGCGGACCAGCCCGAGACAAACAGGCGAGCCGCATCGCAGCGCAGGCGAGCGGCATCTCCGCGGCGCGACGGATCAACGAGCAGCGGGGCATCATCGAGGCGACGGCGAGCAGCATATCCAGCCAGGCGCGACGGATCATCAAGCAGGTGGCCGTCTCTCACGGCGACGCCGGCATCTCCGACCAGGTCGAGGACGCAGCCTGGCGGGACTTCTGCTTTGGAGATGGGCGCGCTCGGCAGTCTGCGGGTGCCCGATCAACAGCTTCGGTTCCAAACCACCTGGTAAAGTTTACTGCAGTTCACGGTCAACCATTGGCACGATGTTTGAGGGCAGATAATCATTGCCAATGGAAGAAAGCACTCGGTCTGCGCTTCCCGGCTGGAAGCCGGGCATCGCGAAACATGGGGTACAGAAATGTTTGCAGAAGTTGTCGCTGCGGTGGAGAACCAAGAGTGTTGAGGGTGACAGCGCGGCGGCACGCCTATTCTAGCAGCGAGTGCAAGGGGGGGCGCACAAGCAGGCATTGCAATGCAAGATGGACGGCGGTGGCATGGATAATCTCTGAGAGAGCGCCTTCGCCTTCGTTCGAGAAGACGCCGATCCAGCGATTGGCGAAACGGCACCGCCTTCGGTTTTGAGCTTAGGCGCGAGATGGCTGGAGCAGGAGCATGGACTTCATGAGCAGGAAACAGTTGGAGCTGCAATCGGCCAGTTTTTTCCGCATCAGACGAGGACCTCGAGATCGCGGCCAGCAAACCGCGGATTTCGGGCCAATCTATGGCGGGGCGTCGGACCAGGCAGGTCTTGAATTCAACGCGGCTGCATGGCCGTGATCTCCCGGCAAAGCGCATCGACGACATCGGAGTCAAGATTGACGGAGATTTTCGGCGATGCAATGAGGCCCAGGCCATCCGCGCTTGCGATCGCTTGGCGGATGTAGTGCGCATTGGGTGTTTCTCGGGGGCGGCAAAGAGGGGGGTGATGACTAGGGGGGGGGGATATCATGGCGGGGGCCATGATATCTCCCCAGATTTTATGGCGCCTCTTCTTATTCCATTACGTCCCTGGCCCCCCCGCTGGGCCGCGCACGTGCCGCCGGTCATGATTTGCACCCCCCCCACTTGGACACCCCCCTCCTGGCCGCTCCCGAGTTTCGGAGTTGCGGTCGCCCTGGCCACTCTTGCCGAGACTCTTCGTGCGGTGAGCGCCCTCCTTCCGCGGCCGCCCTCCGCCTCCTTCCCCCTCTCGTGCCGCCGGACAGTGAGCGCGCTGTGCCCCAGACTGTGAGAGCGCGCGCGGATTGCCTCTGTCGCGCTGCGACGGAAACAGTATTTTGGAGTTGGGGGCCGATGTCTCGGGAGGGTGGGTTTTCGCCTGTGCCTTTGCTTCGGGTGTCATGGCGTCGGCACGGGTGGTCATGGCGCGTGGCGCGGGCAGCTCCAGCCTCAGCTGTCGGTTCAGGGTGAGCCTGCACGCAAACCTTTGTTTGCTGCGCCTTAGTGGCCAACAGGCGGGTGGACAACATTGTCGGGGATTGTACTACTCGCGCCCAAAAGCAAATGGCTGGCGTTCTCCTCCTCTGCATCCTCGACCTCCCCCCCCCGCTCTTCTCCTCGCGCTCCTCTTCTGCAGCCGGTGCCGTTCCCAGTAGGCCTGCCCCCCTTCCTCCTCGCGCTCCTCTTCTCAGCCACCGACGGTCGTCCTCCCCCACCTCTTGGGCACCGTGTGTCTCCCACACTGAGTCGTTTTCGTGCCTTTCCCCGAAATCATCCCCCCCCTCCCGGGCCACGGAAAGAATCCGCATCCCCGCCCCAACCTGGCCCACTCTCTCTGGGCGATTGCGGATAGTCTTTGCAAAAAGGAATGTCGAAAGTGCCCCTGGCCCCGACGAGTCCTCCTTTTTGCAGCGGGGGCCATGTGGGGGCGGGGCTGCTTATTCGCCTCCCTTCTGAGCACCCTGTGGCCGGGACAGGATGCATCCAGTGCGACCACTGCGTTCCCTCTTCCACCCCGCGGTCGTCGTGTCAATGCTGGGGCAGGCCGGCTGACTTCGTGCCCGCGCGTCGTCGTCGTCGTCGTCGTCGTCGTCGTCGTCGTCGTCGTCGTCGTCGTCGTCGTCTCTGCGTTCGTCCTCAGTGTTCGTCGTCGTCGTCCTCTTCCTCCTCCGCCACATCCCCCTCTTTGCGATTCGGAGAAGATGGGGGTGGTGAGAGGGAGGGATGGAAGAAGATGAGGAGGATGGAGGGGGAAGGAGAAGGTTCAAGGGCGCGTCGTACGGTGTGTTATTGCTGTTGAAGTTGATGAAGTTCTCACTGAAGGGTTTGCAAGGGCCATGGGAGAGGCAGATGCAGACACTGAGAATGAGGACACGTGGAACGAGGAGGATGTGGATGAGGAGAAGGAGCAAGGGAGGGCAAGAGAGAGAGAGAGAAACATAAGCATATATATATATATATATAACACACAAGTGTACACCCACACACACACATATGTGTATATATATACAGAGACACGCACACCAGACAGTAAAAAGAGCAGAGGGGAGAAAGAGAGCGAGAAAACAAGATAGAGAGAGGGAGAGAACATACAAAAAGAGAGACAGGCAGAGGAAGAGAGATTGCTCTTAACAGGTTCAGCATTGGGCCGCCTTGGACCCTCCCGCGGGGCCGCCTAGGGCCGCCCTTGCTGCCTCGTTGGCCGCCTCGGGCCCCTCCCTCTAGCTTGGGTCTTCGTAGGGCCCTTGGGGCCATCCCGTGTAGAGAGAAGATGCTGCAAGAAAGACCACATTGGGCTCATTAGGGGCTCTCATTCTCGGGCCGCTCCTGACGTCTAGGTCGGGGAACCTATTCGCGGCCGAGGCTGGGCGCGGCCAGGAAAGCCCCTTCGTGTCTCTTTAGCGTTCCTCATGGTAGCACGATGGCTGCAGTCTTGGAGGAAATTTCGGGTCGCGTTGGGACTGTGATGGGGGCCTCTTAAGTACAGTACGCCTCAGGACATCGTGTGCCCGAGTGCACAGGGAACATCTCATATTGACAGACAATAAATCGTCCAGCGGCCGTCGACCCAGTCCGCCGGTCCCTTTCAATTTCGACAACGCGGGCCCCGAAGGAAACATAAGTATAGTAGCGTACGGCTTGTCAACACAGTTTCAGGAACGCGTGAACTCTTTTCAGTGAGTGTTTTGGGTTCGAAGAATCCGTTTGTGACCTGGTCGTGATGCAACGGCTTCGGGGCCTCACAGAAACCTCTCAGAATATTCAGCCTCTCGGAAGCCTTTCAGAAGCCTCGCGGCAGCCTCTCTGAAAACTCGCAGAAGCTTTTCAGGAGCGTCGTGGAAGCCTATCAGGAGCCTTGCAGAGGCCTCACACAAGCCTTACATCAGCGAGTGGAGTCTGGTCGGCGAGGGAAGGCCAAGTGCGGGATGAACAATATGGTCATGGCTTTGATGAATGCAAGCGGCCCAGCGTATAAGAAAACCGAAGATATGGGAATGTATGGCATCCCCCCTGGCGAAGGATTTTGGGATAAGCACGCGCGCGGAGCATGATACGTTGGCTCACATGGTTTGCACCAACAGGTTGTCACAAGATCTCGCGAAGCTGGCAGGGACTTTTGGCGAGCCAATCCCAATCCAGAAAGGAAGCAGGCGATCGACGAATTGTGCATCGTTGCGGAAGGGCGGGGTAAATTTTCAACGCCACGTGAACGTTGATTTGGCCCACTATGCGTAGTATGGAGGAAGCCAGGAGGATTCCATATTGCACGCGTTTTTCTGCGGAGGTTGAAGAATTGAATTCACGTTGTCTTCTGAGAGTCTCTCCAATGCGGCGCCCGAGGTGCCTCGCATGGTGAATGCTGCAATGCTGCATTGGTGCCCATGTATGCTTATGTCTACGGTCGGCGTCCCGTTGTTTGCATTGCAGCATGCGATGTTTCAGTTCGCAGCAGCTTTGATACATGAGTCCGAAGCTACGTTACATGCAGCTCGCATTCCCCTGATTCCCTGAAGTGGGATCCTTGAGTCCTTGAACTGCGCAACGGGTTTTTCAGCAGGCCGATCGCGATTATGATGCTATAGTCGTATCAAGTTGTGCTTGTAGTCATTCTTTCGTAAGCTATTGACTCACCTATGGGATCTCGTAGGGGTCTTCTCTGCTCTGGGCCTATTGGAGGCAGTTTGGACGCCTCTTGAGGGCCGTTTGGGGGCCTCTTGGGGCCTCTTGGGCGTCTCTTGGAGGCATTTTGGGGCCTCCTGGGCGCCTCTTGGGGCCTCCCGGGGGCTTCTTGGGGCGGAAGGCTCGGATTTTCGATTCGTGTTCCCTCTTTGAGGCTCATTTTGGGGCCGTCTTGGGGACCGCTTGGGCCGTGGCCTCTTGGGCTGTCTCGGGGCCCTCTTGGATTGTCTTGGGGCCCTTTTGGAGGCCTCTTGGGGCCGTCTTGGGGCGGCATTGGGGTCTCTAGGGCCGTCTGGGAGTGTCGGGAAGCCGAAAAGGCGTGAACGCCCAAATCCTTCAAAGACTTTGGGAAAGCCAGTGATTTTGGCCTCTTGGGGCCCGCTTGGGAGACCCCGTGGAGGCCTTTTTGGGCGTCTTGGAGGCCTCTTGGGCCGTCTGGGGTCCATCTTGAGCGTCCTTGGAGCGATGGCGGCTCGGGGCTCTCTTGGACCGTCTTTTTGGGGGGCTTCTTGGGGCTCCCTGGGCCCGTCTTGGGGCCCTCGTCTTGGGCCTGAAACATTCAGGCGGGAACGCTCGGGAGAGCCCAGGAGCACCGCGGGGAGCCCCAAGAGATTTGGTGAGGGGTCCGGGCCCCTTAAAGACTCCGCAGGAGGGAGGATTGAGGCTGCAAGACCTGAGGACACGCCCTCTCCGTGCCCAGCGGCACGGTGGCGGATAGATGCACAAGCGCACGTGCAAGATGAGAAGGAGGACGACGACGGAATTATGGGTGGAGGGCACAGAAATGCGGAGGACGAGGAGGCGGAGGATGAGGACGAGGATGGCGAGGCGAGTCCGGGCAGGGGGCGCAGGGAGGCCGGCGCGCCGTGCTCTGACAGGCTGCCCTGCACCTCTTCTGCATGGTGTCGGCGGTGAAGATGGCCCGCTCCGCCATGGAGCTAGGCGCCAGGGCCCCGCTCAGTATCGTCGAACGGGTCCCCATCCCCATCCCGATCCCCGCCATTCGCCATGGGGGAGATGGGTCCTGAGGGAAACGCGTCCTGAGGTTTTGCCCCCTTTTCGGGCTCCCGGGGCTCTCCACGGGCCCCGGGGCTGTCAGAAGGCGGCTCGGGGTGCAGATCGCGTCCCAGGGGCAGGCCCCCGGGTCCAGGACCCGCTCCCCTCAGGATCCGTCTCCCCCTTAGGCTGCACCATCCCACCACCCTGGCTGAAGGGATGCCCGTCGAAGCGTAGAGCGACCGGTGGGGCCCAGGCCACGCCCGTGGGCACAGGGAGCGGCCAAGCGATGCCCGCCCGCAGCGGAGCCCGCGCCAGCGGGGGAGGCGGGAGAGGCAGGCCGGCAGAGAGGGCAGCGGCAGCGCAGGCACGGCCGTCGGCGCACGCGGGGGCCGTGCTGTCTCCAGCCAGGGGGTCGTGCGCTCTCCCGCCAGCCAGTGAGGAGGCGGCGAGGCGACACGGACAGAGGAGATCCGAAGGCCCGCCCTGAGACGGAGATGAGCTCGCACACAAGGCATGGGCCGAAGAGAGAGAGGAGGCCAGCACGCCTTCAGGACCCGTGACGGGGCAGGGAGCAGGTTGAAGAGGGAGGACGGGGGAGGCAGGACCAAGGATGAGGGATGGAGAGGAGGGAGGAGGAGGAGGAGGAGGCGGGCTCTTTCCCCCCCTTTCTCCTTCGATTCTCTAAGAGGGAATCTTTGGGTGGATGGGAATGAGATCAAGGAGGTGGAGTAGGAATGTTGGCCACACAGCTTGGATACACCAACGGAACATGTGCGCATGTTATTCGTGAGGGCGCGGGTGTCATACGAGAGGGAGCATATTTACGATGCTCATGTGCCTAAGTATGCGCGCTTAGCGAGAGTCACACACATTGGGCAGGTCACATTATGACTGCCGGGCTACCGTGGGGTTTTGGGTCAATGCCTTGTCGAACGCTTCTCCGACTCCGTCTCTGATAAAGATGGTGATGATGGGATTTGTCGTTCATGCGTGCAAATTGCGAAGTATGACAAACAGGTTCGAGGAGCGGCACCATCCTCTCCCCACGCATTGGGGGAATCCATGCTCTTTGGTGCTAACCCAAGTGGACGGAGGTATATCCAGGTGTGTAGGTTAGAAGGAACGGCCCGCATTTGCGAGAACAGCCGCGCCAGTCGGATGGTTCATATCCCAGGCTAGGGAACATCAAGAAGTTGTTGGTCGCCACGTCGGCAGCAACGCTGTCTTACAGATGCCACATGTGCAGGATGCGACGTGCGATCAACATTGGGAGACCCGCACCGAACAACACCCAGACTCAGATGCATATCAGTACCTAGTTGCCCTCGGCCCATCCAGGCATCGTGGACGGGTCGTGGACAATCGCCGTGTTCGAGGCCTCTTCGGGTCTCCTGGGAGGCCCTTCGAGGGCTGTTTGAAACCTCTTGGGGGCCTTTCGAGGGTCTCTTGGGGCCTCTTTGGGGCGTCTTGGGAGTCTTTTAGGGGCCTCTAGGGTTCCTCTTGACGGCCTTTTGGGGGCTTGGGTGTCTCAGAGCAGTCTTGGACAAGGGGGAGGGAGAAGGATGGGACACGAGGGACATTAACAGGAGGGGTGCTGGGAGCTGGAAAACAAGCGGCTGAACCAGACGGGCGTGCGGGCCCAGACGGCCAGGTCAAGCGGACGGGTCGCTGAAGCGTCAATCCTGCATGAATCGCGTGGAGCTCTTGAGCGATAGCGTGATTCCCAAGTAAATGGTGAGGGCGTCCAGAGCAAGAGCGTGATTCCTGAGTGTCAAGGGCGCGGCGTTTCAATCAGTTGAAATGTCGTCCCACGCGAGAGCGCGATTCCTGGATAAACTACGAGTCAATCATGCCCGAGAGCTCGATTTTGAGTATTTCGTGATCAGGTATTCGGCGGGAGGCGTTGTTGTGGTGAACTGGTTGCAAGTAACCCAGTCTGAGGCGCAAGAGGTTCCCTTGTAAAAAACCGGGCGCGATCCCTGGGATGGGCACTTCGCTTGAAAAACACACGGTGCACCGGATGAAGGTATCAAGAGTAATGATTCTGACACCTCAACAAGAACAGCAGCAACAATCATTCTAAGATTGTTCGCTCTTATCTGCTCGAGTGTCATTCAATGTGTATGTTCCAAACCCTTGGTGCCCCCCCTGTTCGTCTTCGATCGTACCCCTATTGGGGAGTATATCTGCCTTTCCTGCAGGCCGTGCCCCGGCAAGCGGCGGGGCGGCCGCGGACCGTCTGCCTGGCCAGCGGCAGCGCTGATCGGCGGCAGCCCGACCCCAAGAGGGACGGACAGGGTACCGACCACGACGATGACGACGACGACGACGATGACGTCGACGACGACGACGAGAGAAAGCGAGAGCGACAGCGACAGCGACAGCGAGAGCGACAGCGGGGCCACGAAGGGCAGGAAGGGGGCCACGAAGGGCGACAGCGGGGACACGAAGGGCGCGCATATGGGGCCACAAAGGGCGCGAACGAGCTGGGGGAACGAGCGGGGGCCACAAACGGCAGCTAATGCGGGGCTACAGAGGGCAACGACGGGGCCACTGAGGGTGGCAACGGGGCTACGTAGGACAGCGAGGGGGGCGCAAAGGGCGACAGCGGGGCCGCGGAAGGCATGCGTATGGGGCCACGACGGGCGCGAACGAGCGGGGGCCACGAAGAGTCTCGAAGAGCATGCGTATGTGGGGCCACAGAGGGCAACGACGGGGCCACTGAGGGCAGCAACAGGGCCACGAAGGGCAGCGAGGGGGCCGCAAAGGGTTGCAACGGAGTCCTTAGCGTGAGCGGGACTCCTGGGTGCCTGAGTGTCGGGAGCGCGGCGCTTGAGTACATTGCGGGGAATTCCGACGCAAGAGCGCGATTCTTGAGTAAATGGCAAGCGAGTCTCCAGCGAGAGCGCGACTTCGGAGCGCCGAGAGAGCAATTCCTGCATACATTGTAAGAAAGTCCCAAGCGAGAACGCGAGCCCTGAGTAAACTGCGAGGAAGTTTCAGGCGGGAGCGGGGGTCCTGGCTAAATTGCGAGGGGATCTCAAGCGGGAGCCGTTGTTGAACATTATTATTTCTAAAGAATAATTATTGTTGGGACCCCTGGTGCGCGGCCCCCCCGCCGCGCCTAGGCCGCAGCCACATTTTCATCATTTTCGTGAGGAAGTCTCAGGCAAAACGGGTTGGTCCGGATCCGGTTGTTTTGTTACGGCCCGCTTTCCCTTGCAAAAAATAAGCTAAAGTGGACATTTCTTGTTCTAACATAACCAAACTTCAAGAATCCCTTGCAAAAAATAAGGTAAAGTGGACATTCGCGCGCGCAAGACGAAATCCTTCCAAAACCTTAGTTTTCGTAGCGATTTTAACATAAAACATCAAAAAACCAATGGTTTTTTAACAAAAAATTGTCAAAATTTCATCCCGCGCGCTCTTGCGGATTCGTAGGAAACCCAACACTTTTTAAACATTTCTGTCAAACGGGCTTTTGCGAGCAACTTTTTCGAACTTCTGCAACAACGGTTGCGCACCTGCCAGGGCCATCATCCCTGTCAAATAATACCATGCGGGACACATTCGTTTTTTCTTCGCGCGCGCACGCCGTCGTCGTCGGCCGCGGGGCCCTGAATAGTAGCCACGGTCGTCCGCATGCCACGAAGTGAAGTGTCCGAACGTCATAGGGCGGGAAGCTGGGTGTGGGTGGTGGCGAAGAGTCGTTTGGAAATTTGGTAGAGCTTGAACCGGCCCCCCCACAAAGTGGGGGTATTGCCCGCCTCCTATGAAAACCCTGGCACTGGTGAGAACGGAGTGTCCCCACGTGCTAGTAATTGTTGTTGTTGTTGTTGTTGTTGTTGTTGTTGTTGTTGTTGTTGTAATCCGGGTACCAACGACACAGTTTGAGCCGAGTCATTTTCCTCAATTAAAAAAGCAGGGTGCGAGCCCGGGGGGGGGAACTTCAATTGAAAAAACACACAGCGGTCACCGGATGGGGGGACCAACGATACGTAGTGAGAGTTCAACAACAGCAACAACAACAGCAGCAGGAGCAACAATTTGTGAAGGTTGTTCTCTCTTGTCTGCTCGTGTGTCATTCGACGTGTATATCCCTAGCCCTCGATTCCGGCCTTCTTCGTCTTCGATCGTGCCCCCTTCGCGGGGGATGTTTTCCTTGTCTGCCTCGTATAATTTGCGCAGCCCCTACAACATGGGAACGAGGAAGGAGGGAGGGGATAAGGAGGAAGGAGAAGGATGGAGCACGAGAGAGGTTAGCAGGAGGGGCGCGAGGACCAGGAAAGCGAGCGGCTGAACCAAACGGACAGGTCGGCCGGGCGGACCGTACGGTCGGGTCGGGCGGGTGTGCCTAGACGGCCGAGTCGAGCGGGCGGGTCGTCGAAGCGTCTGAGTTGCATGAATCGCGGGGAAGCGTCGAGTGATAGAGCGATTCCCAAGTACATCGTGAGGAAGTCCAGAGCGAGAGCGTGATTACTGAGTTTCGGGGGCGCGGCGTTTCAATACATTGAAAGGACGTCCCACGTGAGATCGCGATTCCTGAACAAATTGTGCACAAATCCTGCCCGAGAGCGCGATTTTGAACACACTGTGGCGAACAACCGTCGGGAGCCTTTGTTGTGGAAAACGGGTGGTCAACAACCCAGTCTAAGGCGCAAACAGTTTCCCTGTAGAAATCAAGCTGCGATCCGCGGGAGGGGCACTTCAATTGAAACATTCAAGGTGCACTGGAGGGGGCACCAACAATATAGTTGTATTTCGAAATGGGAACTACATCAGCTTCGTGTTGTTTGCTCTTCTCTGCTCGCGTGTTCCCCAACAAGTATATTCCAAACTCTCGATACCCGCCCTCATCGTCTTCAATCGTACCCCCGTTGGGGGCATATCTTCCTTTACTTCCACGCGTAGTTAACGCAGCCAGAGCAAGGGAGGGAAGGGAGGAGGGAAGGGACAAGGGGGATGGAGAAGGATGGAAAACGAGAGTCGAGTCAGTCCTGCATAGATCGTGAAGAGCTTTCGAGCGATAGCGAGATGCCCACGTACATCGGGAGGAAATCCAGAGCGAGAGCGTGATTACTGAGTGTCGAGGGCGCGGCGTTTCAATACATTGGAAGGGGATCTAGCGCGAGAGCGCGATTCCTGCATACATTGCGAGGAGCTCCCGTGCGAGACCGCGAGTTGGAAGAAATTGTGAGGAAGTATCTGGCGGGAGCTGCTGCTGTTGTAAACCGGGGGCCAGGGGCGCATTCTGAGCTCCCAGACCTTCCCTTTTAAGAAAACTGGGTGCGAGCCCTGGGAGGGGCACTTCAATTGAAAAAAGAGTGGGCACCAGAGTGGGGGAATGAACAATTCTTTTATCTTTGGAA